CCAGAAAAGACCGACTTATTTTTTTATTTTTAAGCAAGAATGCAACATTTGTCACTAGAATTTCTCCCACTAGTGGTGGGAATTGTAAAGACCCCAAATCACCCCAACCCCATTGAGCCACAATGTTGTCTGTACTCAGTGGATGCTCTATACCAAGGTTGGCAAATGGTTCATAGCCCTCACTAGAGAACTCAAAAAGCCAACCAGATGTAAAAAGAGATAATCTAAACTCCTCTTAAAAAATAAAATAATAAACTTTTCAGGGAATAAACTTTACTGACATTTTGTCCTCATGGGAAGCCTCTAGGTTGACCTGAGAGCGGCATCTCAGGGCCGCAGCAGAAAACTTGTTTGCTGTTATTATTGACTATTGCCTGAATTATTCTCCTGCCCATAATGTACCAAGTTTTCGAAGGCCAACAGGACTTTGAGTCAGCAAAGAAACACAAGCCTGAGGGAGACATAAAAATAGCAACCATAGTTCACCCCTGAGGTCCACCCGAAGCTATGCACCATGACCGCCTCCACAGTCACCATGTTTTGTGCTGTGCCCAGCACTGGCTTTTGTCTGTGAGGTCAGATAAAGTGTATGGAGGTTGTTTTAGATGCAGAGGGTATTTTCTGGGGTGTAAATAAATCTCTCTCAGTTAGGCTGCTGCTGTTTCATAAATAAGGAAAGAGCAAGTTTCCTTCTTGGCAGGAATATAAGACCTGTAACCCAGAGAGCTGCCCGGAGGTGCGCAGGAACACACCCTGGACCCCTTGGATGCCTGTCAACATCACCCAGAATGGTGCTCGCCAGGAGCAGCGCTTCCGCTACACGTGTCGTGCCCAGCTGTCTGATCCCCATGAGCTGCAGTTCGGGAGGAAGAAGACCGAGAGTCGATTCTGCCCCATTGATGGTTTACGGGTGTGTGATACTGACTGTACGTCTTGCCAGCTCTGGGGGACCATAGGGCAAACCTATATTTGGGAGTGGAAGGGGGAATCCTCTCAGAACAACAAGAACCTGATTTTGTCTGCATAAGTCTTGATATGTATGACTAGTGTCATTGCAGAATGGCTGGGATGGAGAGAGCCCTGTGGCTCACAGTTGTGAGCTCTGTGCTTATGGCAGTGTATAGATTTGTTATTGCTACTGCCAGGCTGCCCCAAGACAGCAGGCAAGTAATGGGGTGTAGAGAAGAAGAGAAGCGCCATTCTACAAGACAGTGTGTCTTTTCTCTCTCTCTGGAGATCCCCTTGTGCACTACCTCTGGGGTTATTCCCTTCACTACTGCTGCGATGAAAGGCAGTGTCCTGAGGGCACAACCTCGATTGCCACAATTTGCTGCCCAGAAAGGTCATTTATCAAGGTTATCAGTAGACTCAAGTTTGTGTGTGTACAGATTTCATTTTGCGTCTGGCTTAGCTGTAACCCTGTGGAACAAAAACTCTTGCTAAGAGCTTTCAACAGAAACTCTTCTCCAGGGCACATAAATCCTGATTTTATTAATGAATTGGAGCCCTTTTTAAAAGCCTAACAACTGATTAATTCGTGATCATGTGGTGTCTTGTTTGTTTTCCTTGAAGCTCTTGTTGATGACCTCCTCAAGACTGGTAAGACCTCTGCACGGATTATCAATGGGGGCTGGTCCTTTTGGGGGGCCTGGTCTTCCTGTTCCAGGGACTGTGAGTTGGGCTTTAGGATCAGGAAGAGAACATGCACAAACCCTGAACCTAAAAACGGTGGCTTGCCCTGCGTGGGGTCAGCGATGGAGTACCAAGACTGCAATCCACATCCCTGCCCAGGTAACCATGATCATCTTCCTGCATGAAATTCAGATGTGTTCTTCTCCATCTTAGAGGTAGAACCACAAAAAAAAAGTAGTATTTCCAGGATGCTTGCTTTTTTTTTTTTTTTTTAAATTTGTGGAATTTTTCCTTCATTTTTTTTAAGCTATTGTAATGACCCGTGTATGTGATCTTTAGCGCTATGACTTACGTTTCACATAGGCTCAGAGTGTAACACAGCCACATCCTCTAGAGGAAGTAGTATTGTAGCTTGTCTGGCAGGTTTTTGCTTCAAGAAGGTTTGATGCTCCATCCAGTGGAAGGCATCACGGTGCATCTGCACCTTAATGAGGAGACAGGCTTAATAAATGTGGCTTAATACTATGTAGAGATGCTTGATGTGGTGGTTCTTCTTGTGAACACTTGTTTCTTCCCCCTCTCCTGCTTACGTATTGTTCTTGCGATGGGCATCTACTCTTGACATCAGTTACCATTTCCTGCACAGCCAGCAGGGAGTATTCTTGCCTGGTTTCCTGGTTTTCGAGTTTGTCCTCATGTTTATGTTGCACTCCTGGTCCAGAATAGTAATAATAGACCATTGACTGCTGTATTCTCTCTCACTTATCCTTCTCCTTGCTCTGTAATAACTATCTAAACTAAATTTAAGTGATCTTACACAAATTACCTTGCCTCTGCAGTTCTAGCAATTATCTACCTCTGGCAATATAGTTTGTGACCTACACTTGAAAATGCTATATTATAATTGTAGTATTATGATTCTAAAATTCAATACAAAGATAAAATTCTAATGCAGCTAGGAAAATATGATGAGAATGTGCAGCGAGAGCATAGCAGGAGTGTCAAATATGGCACTCTATGGCCTATAAAAAGAGAATAACTCTAGCACTATAAAGGCAGCTATTAGTACTATTTTGGAAGCTCTCAGTGGCTTTTCACTAATGTCTGTGCCTTACTTCTGTGCTGTTTTCTCCCCTTGGACACTATGATGTTTTACAATCTGTTCTGAGTGCATGATTACTATTTCTCTGTGTCTCTCTCCTTCCCTGCCTCACTCAATGTGTATACACAAATCCTGGGTTCATCTTGCACTAAGTCATCAGGTTATTATCTTCTGAAATAATGGCATGTGGACCTGCAAATCAGACAGTCTAGTAGCCAGACAAGGTGGGGTGGGAATCAGGGATCTTGTCTCTCCCTGGTTTTACTGTTAACCTGTTATGGGGCTGTGCTCAGATAAAGCCTCTTGACTTTCTGTTTCCTGAAGGCTGGAACTAGAGGACTTGGGGCCCCCACAGAAAGGTGCTGCATAAGCCCCACTTTGGTTGTACAGCACTTTTTTCCCAAGTAAATCTACTGTTGCTGTAGGTGAAGTGTCGGGAGACAATGTAATAATACTGACAACACTGCTTTAAAAAAGGTCTAGACTAGAATAGACTAGACTAGGATATTTTAATGGCAACCCTAAAGAACGGTTTCTATTTTGGCACTTTATGATGCAGAGTCTTTCTGTGCATAAACCTCTTTCTGCATCTGCAGAGTGCAGCACATTTGTACCCTCTCTTGATACGAAGTTCTTGTTGTCAGGCCCAAATGCCTTGGGGTGCAACAAACTGCTAGCTAGTCTGAGCAGGGTGGATCTGGAAAGGGAGATACTGGGGCTCTCTAGCTTTATCAAAGTGAGAGGAGTAACTAACAGTGTCTACCTCTCTCCCCTTGCTTTTCGATGTCCTTCAGTGAAAGGCTCATGGTCTTGCTGGACTCCTTGGTCTCACTGCTCAGCAACCTGTGGAGGAGGACACTACCAGCGCACACGGACTTGCACCAATCCAGCTCCGTCTAGCGGAGAGGACATCTGCATTGGTCTACACACTGAGGAGGCCCTTTGCAACACACACCCGTGTGAAGGTAGCCAGTTTTTGTCGCTGCTCCACCTGGTTTGGGTGGTGGTGGGAGCAAGGTACATCTGCGAAATGTTTAAAAAAATACACCACCAGTTAGAAGCTTTTCTGTCCATTCAGTAAATGTCTGTTGAGTGAGGAAAAAAAGGAGACATCCCAGTGTTCAACTGCAATGCATCACCTTTTTCTTTACCTGTTCACTGCCCGTGCTCTGGCATGCTGGTGGTGCCAGACAGGCAGAATTTTAACAGCTGATCCATTTAAAGTAATTGGAAAAGCAGGAGCTTGGTTCTTCAATGTGAAAGCTTACAAGACAAACAAAAGGAGTCATGAAGCATCAATCTGTACAGTTGCTGAAGGGATAATCCTTCCTTTTTCTTACACAGACGGGCAGATGAGCATGTGCTACAACTCAGAGGACAGGTTTAAGGTCTGTGCTGGTTTTGAACTGCCTTTGTGTATTTCTGATCCAGTGCAGGCTGACTCCTGCCCTTAGGAACATCAGCAAAACTCTCTAACTGCTATAACTTGTGTTGACTGCTTGGGGTATCCCTGAGAGGCCACCTCAAAACTTGGAGGTCCTGGTGCAACATTGCCCCATCCAGCTCCTTGTATGCCTTTAAACAAAGAGCTGTGTAGGAGCTTTTAAGACAACTCTGTGCTATGCAGTGCTCCACCAAGGGTTGGTTCAGTCTGTATTAAGAAAACTACAACTTGACAAGTAGAGTACGATGCTTGCATTGTTATTTGCATTGAGAAACTGAAATCCACTAAAGGCCTCTTGATTAGATGTGTGAGAGAGGCCTCGGCCAGGATCTAGGCATCTTCCAGCATGGGAGAAGCTTGACATCTACAAGGAATCCTTTTCCTTCTTGGTGACGTTGCCTGTGTATTTTCCTGATCTTGGATTTCAGGTGGCTGGTCGGAGTGGTCAGAGTGGAGCCTGTGCAATGAAGAGGGCATCCAATACCGCAGCCGTTATTGTGAGGTGCACAGTCCAGACTCTTCTCAGTGCGTCGGAAACAGCACACAGTACCAAGAGTGCCTGTATAATGAAATTCCTGGTAAGTACAGTGTCATGGAGGAGGGAGAGGGTGGGCCAATTCAGGAGAGCAGCTTGTGCCCTGACTGTCAAGCTAGGCTGAGATTTTCACTATTATAAATTGAGTTTGGATGCTTCTAGAAAAACAAGCAAACAAACAAACATGTTATAAACTCCATTGTGGCAGGCACGGGGTAACTGGCATTTCTTTAAGGCAGCTTGGCTTTTCTTTGAAGCAGAATTACCTAGATGTGTAGTAAATAACTAGTATTGCTTCATCTGAATTGAAGCTTTTAACATTGCATAGTTAATCTCAGGCTGGGTTATAAAAATTATCTCTATTCTCAGTATGGATATGGACAACAGAAGGTCCATGAGTTCAGGTATCAAAAGAAGCATCCCAAAAGAGTGAAGAAATAAGGTGAGGCAGATGGAGAAAATTGATGTGTGAAGTGAGAAGATTAATCAAGGGCCTAACAAAGCAACACTGTTGACGGACAGATGGTCATCAACATCTTCCACTCTCTGTTTTGTGGAAACTGAATCTCTCACGCAAATATATGATATAGGTCTAGACTGAATAACCCCTTTCCACATGTTGTTGTCTGGATTACAGTGCCTTGACTTAAAAATCTGAGATCTCTAGGCAGTGGTACTCTTCTTTTTCATGGTTTTCTCATCTATCTTCTTTCCCCTAAATTGAAGAAGCTAAACAGTGATCAGGTAAAAGTACTGGAATTGTCAGGTCTTTGGAGAGGTTTTGTTGCATCTGTTTCACACTCTGAGCTTATCACTCAATTTAGAGAGACTCTCAGCTTGCTGCAGAGCACGTGAGCAGCTTCTCGTGTCTGGAGCACAGTGGGTTTAATTACTTAAAGAAGTAAAGTGATGGCAAAATGACAACTTTCTCCAATCTTCTCTTTGTTTAGTGATCCTGCCAGCCTCCAGCATTGATGAAAGCACAAACTGTGGAGGTAGGGTACCACTAACTATATATCTTATTTTTGTCTTAACCTAGCTTCTTTTTTCCCTGTGCAGTATCAACCAAACCATTAATCTATACAGCTCATATCCCACTGATAGCCTTAATTCCACTGGAGTCTTACTGTCTGAGTCAGACTGGAGGAATGTATCGCATGTCCACTTGTCAGTTCCAAGATTTTATTTATTTCAGGCTTTGGATTGGCCTCTGAGGGTCGTTAATTACCCGGGAGCACATTGCTTGTCTCCCTCTACCCGCAAGGTAAACGGTTCAGGAGAAAGGAAGGGATATTCCTCATTTCACCACTGTGAGCCTCCAGCTGTTTGGAGGCAGGTGTTTTTCAATAACTATAAAGATTTCAGTGAAAAGGGTCTCTTAGGCACATCCTTTGCTGATATAGGACAAAATTAGAGTTTATGCTTGTCCTCCAAACACTTCCTTTCATTCAAGTCCTCACCTCTCGCAGAACTTGTGTCTCCTTTCTGCATGTAACTTGGAAAGATCCAATCATTAGTGTCGCTTTTCCACTGCCCTAGGAGCCCCTATGATAAAAATGCAGACTGAAGAAAATGGCAGGTTCCTTCAACATTTTAAAATGCTAGTTTCACACTAATGACCATGTCAATTCCTGCTAGCATCACATCCCTGCTTTCCTGAAATCTAGATGATCTGCAGGCTGCCAAAATCTCTTCTCTCTGTGGAGATGATGGCAAAAAAAGGCTTGCCACCTGTGGCATGGAAATGTGGCCTCTCGGTTTGTGACTGTGGGGCAATCAATGGAGTTAAGATTTCTGCACCTGCAATGTAAGAGTTGGCTTTCTGCATCACTTCTTCTCCCTCAGAGAGTACAATGGCTTCAATTCCAGGACTCCTTGCTATGGCTTGCGCTCTGCTGTGGTGCGCTGTATCCACATTTCCTTCTTTTACCACCACCGTTGTATTTGCTGTTGCAATCTACGTTTTACCATAGCTAATACTATTTATTACTTAGTGTACTACAATATTTGGTAAATAAGCCAATCAATAGAAATTCTGTTGATGCATCTCAGAAAAACCTATATTTTCAAAGTGATGAACCAGAAAGCTGCTCCCCTGGGGACTCACATGCTGCAAACAATTTTTTTTTTTTTTTTCCCCAAGATATGGCTAAAAGTCACCTAAAAAATCAGATGGATCTTTCAAAGGTGAAAGGGAAATGTAAGAGAAATTTATGTTCTAGAAGGGATTTCCTACTGGAGTGAATTGGTAAATGTAGCAGTAAAATGGAACATTCCCTGCCATATAAGAAAAACTGGACAGGAGGAGAATGTGACAGTGTTATGTGGCGTCACTGAGCACGGTTGCATATTCAGTGTTTTAGCTCTCATGAGTGATGTAAAGCAGGCAGAGGTTTTTAGAAAGGAAATGTCTTTTTGGAAAAGTCTTGTAACATTTACTAGGAAATTAGAGTCTTTCTGCTGGTTTTTGGACCATCATCCAAAACACAATAGAAAGTGGTAATCTCGTAATAGAATTTTATAGTGTGGTTTAAAAAATAAATGTAGCTTGTCAGTCTAATAAATTCTGTATGTTCCTTACTGTAATTATGATTGAAGTGCATTACTTTGCTGTAGAACTCTATCGGTTTTGTTCTTTTTAAACTCAGGAGCATATTTTTTAACTAAAGATTAGAGGAGAGCTGTAGACTAATGGGCAGAATTCTCTATTTGAAAAGCGTATCAGTTAAAATGTAAGATGGCACCAAAAAAATGCACACCGTGATCAGACTAAGAATGAACCTCATTTAAAGCCACTCCCCAAGTAGTCCCTTCCATTTCTCTGCACACAGTCAAGTCAACACAGCAGGCTGTCCAAATCAATTGGCTTTTTAAGTATTACGGGAATTTTACCACTGCAGTTGCCACCGAGCAGATGGCACAGCTGCCCTGGGGGTGCAGCAGTCAGAGGTGTTCCCCCCAGGGCCGTGGTCACTCCCATGTGAAAGATTACAGAGCACAAAGGCAGAGGAAAGGCAATAGCATTTGGACTCATCATTGCCAATTCT